AAAATGAAACCCCACCTCCATTAGCACTACTGCAATTGCAGCTGAATTACAGTATCACTCGGAAATATTTTGCAAAATGTAGGCAAGGCTTGTAAGTATTTTTTTTTTTCTACCTACAACGTATCTTATTAAGAATTCTCATCTGTGCCCCTTCGGCCTTTTATGTTCAGTAAGCAGTCTTGAGTGTTCCCATTAAAGAATGATGTTTCAGTAGTAAAGGTACCATTTAAACTGTTTTATTACTTAATCTGCATGTTATATTGTACATGAGAGATGCAAGGGAAGCACTGAAGAATTAAAAGGATGAAAGGCTTGAGTCAGTCACTGGAGCTTAAACTAAGCAATGCAAATCTGGCATTAAGTGACCTTATTGATGTTTGCTTAAAGTAGCTTCCTCTCTGTACAAATGATGGAGCTTTGTTGTAGATACTGTACAGATAGTGTGCTGCCCCTTTAGAGATTGCCTTTGTATCCCAACACAACCTCTGTTTGCTTCAACAGTGAATGCCTGCAGAAATGCCTCTAGCTAAGATAGATTGCATCAATGTGCTTCATTTGATCAGCTGTCAGCTATGAGGAGAAAGGACAGGTCAAACAAAAGCACAGGCCCATTTCTGTATCCTACCTCACTGAACCTTGAATTTTTGGCAGCTGAAGAATAAGGTTGAATATTACTAGAGAGTAGAGGATTTGACAGCACAGGATATGTGGGTACACAGTCTCCCTGGACACTTCTATATGTGCCAGTTTGAAAAGAAGTGAAAAGTGACTGTGACAAAGTACTCATTGAACAATCAGATACAGGCTAGTAAGCAATACAGGTAGAACAGAGGACGTAACCACATGTTCTACAGGTGATAACATTGTACTGTATAATGAACAGTGCCATCTTCTGGGAAGAGTTGGAATCATGCCCTTATGATCTGCACTCAGGAAGTCTTAAGCTTTCATTTCATGTGTTTATTTTCTTCTGATAAACACTATAAAAATCAAAATGAGAAAAAGTTGCTAATGTGGTAATCCAAGTCCTGGAACCTGCAACAATGAAATACCATGAACAACCAAACGTATGTTCCTTAAAAGCAAAAATGTACTTAAAGTAATTTTGAAAGTTAAAGAATTGTCAGCTGCCAACCAGTACTTCAGAGAATTAGTCTAAGAATCAACAATTATGCCTATATGTTTTAGATGCTAAGTTGCTGTATTTTTATATTTTACAAAGAGTTGATAAATCTTGTAGAAAAATGTGTTAGAGCAGGGGGTTTCAAACTTTTAATAAGTGTACCCCCAGCAGCCCCCTTTTTAATAAGTGTACCCCCAGGGGGATGGTGAGCAGCCGGGGGGGGGAGGGGCAGTGGCAGCGAGTGGCCGGACATGGGGAGGGGGGCGGCGAGACACAGAGCAGGGGAGAGAGGCAGCAAGCAGCCGGGTGGTGAGTGGCGGGGTGGCAAGCGGCGGCAGCGCGATGTCTGTGCAGCCCTGCTCCTGTGAGGTAGTAGCACAGGTTGGCAGTGCTCCATCCTTGCCTGCCCCCACGTACCTCCTGGGACCTTTCAAAGTACCACTTGTCAGAGATTCAAATGACAGTAGATTTGTTGCTTAAGTTACATTATCTCCTCCTCTCTTGCCCCCATTCCAAAACTTTCTCTGCTTTGGATATATGCCTGCTATCCTGTGAACTGATAGAAAGGTTTTCCCTATGCTTCAGAAGTATTCAAAACCTAGGATCATGGAATTTGGCCATTGGATCGAATTTTCTTGAATATAAAGTTCGTCACTTTCACATCCACATTTAGTAACTGTCAGGTCAGCTTCCTAAACTGTTTTTGGAAGAAATTCAATTCCTGGTAATAATGAATGCTTCTGGGTGCTGACAGACATTGGGGGGGGGGGGAGGGACTGTCTTTATTAGAAGTAGCAGTGCCTTACTTCAACCCAGCTCTACAGTGTCTCTATAGATAGGGTGCTTCAACGCGGCTTTTGGCACTTTTATCTAAAGCTGATTCAATCTGTGATTGGATAAAAGCATCAAAAAAGCCCCACTAAAGCACCCGATCTCTGTGGATGTTGGGAAAGCTGGATACAACTAATGTGCTACCTCTGCTGGGTGTGCACTAAGCTCGGCGTGGGAGTACGCCCAGTTTAAATAAAGTGCCATTTTCTTGGGGTTTTTCCCCCCATGTCTGGAAGCAGTCTCTGTATCTAGCCTTTTGCATGTCATTGATAGTAATGCTACATATGGCTTCAAGGAGAAGCCAGAATCTTGTTGAAATTCCAGATGTTTACTGAAATGGAAAGTGAAAATGTAGGTCGGTACTAAAAAAACCCCAAAATATTTAATATCTCTATTGCTAAAACGGAAGAGAAAAATTGAACTTAAACAGCATCCAAAACAATAAGGGAGGTTACACTGTTATCATAAGCAGTGGGTGGAAGGCATGTATTCTGACCAGGTTACCGAGAGAGAGACAATATCTAGTTTTTGGAAGAAGACATCTTTTGCTTCTTACCTCTTAGCATGTTTGGAAACTGAGTGTGCGGTTTCAAGGATGTTATAACTAGTAGCCTCTATTCCACAAGTGTGATTTTAATTAATATGAAAACTAAAAATCTTGGCTGGATCCATACTTAATTGTACAATTAATTTGTTCTTTAAATGGTCATTGAAACAGTAGAATCAACATAGAATGTTAGCTGATAATTACAGTATAATGAAAAGAATCTGTATATTCCTTTAGTTTGTTTGGAAGGTTTTTACCAGTAACACATTTTATATGGTGATATAATAGAAATATTTGAATCGTATTACTGGTAAAATTTCTAGTATATGCAAATTACACATGTAGGGCAGATGGGCTAAAGCAGGGGTGTCAAAGTTACCTCGTGCCCCTGCCTAGATCCAACCCAGGACAAGAGGAAACAGCAGCAGCAGCTCCAGCTCTGATACAGCATGCAGTGGAGGCAACTGTAACTCCAACCTAGGGCATATAGTAGTGGCTCTGACTCCCTTGCATGCCCCATGCCCTGGTGTTAGCTCCAGCTTCAGCATGGGATATGCAGTGGATGCCAGTAAGGTAGGGCTGCAGCAGTAACAGTGCAAAGTGGCCAGAAGGTGATCAAGCCTTTGTCAGCCCTAGCCTACCCTCCTGCTTTGATCATCATGTCCACCAGGACATGAGGGCCATTGATTCTGTGGCAGGCCATGTCCCCCAACTTCTGCTGGCCTCCTGCTAGCCCAGCAGCCCATATAGAGTGACTCTGCAGGTTGGATCCAGCCTGTGGACCATATGCTTGCCACTCCTGGGCTGAAAGTAAGAATATTTACACACTTGTCTTTGCTTAGGTTTTTTTCCTCAACTTTAAAAAAAAATTACTATCAATTTGGATGGCTGATTTTGGTCATTTTAAAAAGGTCTACTTAAATGCTCATAACCCCCAGTAAATGAAAATCTTTATCAAAATGTCTGGAAAAATATATCTGTACTTACAGATAAGATGGAACAAGGGAAAAAATACCAAACAGTTTATGGAATTGAGGGAGAGCCTGTAGACAAGCAGCGGAGTAATAAAAGAGCTATTCAATGGTTTTGGAGGGTTGGAGAGTTAAACTCTAAATCAAATTAATAAGGTAAATGGTGTAAACTGAGCTGTACCGTAATAGGAAGATATGTATAGCAGTTGTAATTTATGTCACTTAACTTATGCCATGTTTAGTATTCAAAAGATCTGGAAAAATGAACAAACTTAAACTGATTAGTTTAGGTACTTTAACCTGCTTTTTTAGGATGCAGTCTTGCCCACTGAGAGTTGGGTTAGATGATGGATTACTGTCTGAAATCAATAAAATGTGTCCCATTTACTTCATTGGGATTACTTGTTTACTTAACTTTAAATTGGAAGACGGTGGTGCTGATTTTATTGTACACCTGTCCTCTTCTCTCTCCCCCCCCCACCCCCCCCCCGGCACATGTAAATTCTGTTGGTTTGGGATTTTTGAGGTGTGCAAGAAGGCCAGTATTATCAATCTGCCATTTACTTTTCTTTTATGGCCAGCTTATGTCAAGGTTTATCATTGCAAATTCCATACAACTTGACACCACTTTATTTTGAGCTTGGTTTATTTGTTTGAAAAGTTTAAAACTTTATATTTGTGCATAATTGTTGTCTGTCAATAGTTTAGCTTTAATAGTCAGAATTGCTGCTTAAAGCAGTTCTTCCAATGTAGTTATCAGTATCTGGTAGAGCAGGGGTTGTCAATCTGTGGTATGCATACCTTTGGGGGTACATGGGAGGGCCCTAGGGGGTACATGGAGGCAGGGATGGAGCAACACTGCTTCCCAGGAACAGGGGTGGGCAAGGTCAGTGGCACCCCCCTGCAGGCCACGCAGGTGCTGCCTGATGGCCAGATGTGGGGGGGGGGCTTCCCCCATGCCACCGCTTCCCACCACCCTGTGCTGTCGCCACGCCACTCATTTTTTAGTAAGTGTACCTCAGCTCTGAGTCTGGCTGCGTGCCACTCCTTGCCCCCCCCCCCCCCCCCCCCCCCCCGGGGTCCCCTTACTAAAAAACCCCACC